ATGGCGTCAAGTGCCAATGGCTTCAAGGCGCGGGAGAGATTTTCGCGCTGTCCATCCTGATCGTTGATGCCGTTTCAATGTCGTGGAGATTAGCGCTTGGAGATTTGCGTTTTGAGTGTTAGGATTTCCACAAACCCTAAACCCCGAACCCCAAACCCCAAACCCGAGCGTTCCTCCGAAGCCTCAAGCGCGCCTCAACGCCTCAGGTGCTGCTCATGGGGCGTGCGGGAGCCGGGACGCACAGACCTTCTCCCCTGACGTCCCCTGACACTTAGCAGGCTCCGGTCTGTCTTTGACTTTGTACCTACACTTGTCTTCCTCTCCATGCCACCAAAAGAAAGAAAAAAGGCACGGATATGTCTGACAGAGTCTCACATGTCGCCGACACGTGTTGCATAGCAGACACAGACAGAACAAGTGGACAAGCAGATCCCTCAAAGACCAAAACATGGCCAGACCTCAGTTTTTTTGTTCTCTCTTGGGGCTTCTTTTGGGAGCAAAACCGAGGCCGGAAAGACCTCGATGAAATCCATCATCTTCGCCAACTACCACTCCAAGGTTCGCAAGTGTTAGGGGCTTTTTTTTTTTGGGGGGGGGGGGGGGGGGGGGATTCGGGGTTTAGGAGTTTAAGGCTTGGGGGTTTAGGGGTTTAGGTTTTAGGGGTTTAGGGGTTTAGGGTTTAGGGGTTTAGGGATTTGGGGTTTAGGGGTTTAGGGGTTTAGGGGTTTAGGGGTTTAGGGGTTTAGGGGTTTAGGGGTTTAGGGGTTTAGGGGTTTAGGCGTTTAGGCGTTTAGGGGTTTAGGGGTTTAGAGGTTTAGGTGCTCAGGGGTGTAGGGGCTTAGGGGTTTAGGGGTTTAGGGGTTTGGGGGGAGGGGGTTTTGGGGTTTCGAGGTTGCAGGGCTTAGGGGTTTAGGGGTCTAAGGGTTTCGGGGGTGTAGGGGTTGAGGGGTTGAGGGGTTGAGGGTCTGAGAGGTTCAGGGGTTGAGGAGTTTAGGGTTTTGCGTAGGGAATGAGGGAATGATGCACCCTATACAGTCCCTTGCCAAATTCCCTACTTAGAGCCAGTTGGTCGGCTGCTTGTCCAAACTTCTGGGTTGGTTGGTCGGTGGGTACCAACACGGCAAACTCTTCACCCTAAACCCTAACCCCTAAACCCTGAACCCTAGTGTGGGTTTAGGGTTCAGGGCTAAGATTCAGAGTTCGGGGTTCCTTTCGCTTCTCAGAGTTTCGGGGCTTCTGGAGGACCCAGTGAAGTGGAGGACTGCTTTGGGGTTTCGGTTTTTGCGAGCGGGTCCTTCCGACCCTGGCGCGGCTAGGACACGAAGTTGCTGCAGCCGACGAACCACGTGGAGCACAATTCGCCGGGCACCCCGCTTCTCTTGTTCAAGCTCATGGCCTCCTAAACGCACTGGAAACGCAGAAGCCCTGAGGCACTGGCCCCGAAAGCCAATAACTCCACGAGCCTTGAACTTGAAACCCTAAACCCGAAACCCCAAACCCGAAACCCTTGAGCCCTGACCTCACTAACCTTCAGCCTTTGCAAAGCCAAAGGCTCCGATTCCTGGGGAACCTGCGGCTGAACCTCTGGGACTGTGGAGGCCGGGGCTCTGAGTTCTGAATTCTTGAAAGTTCGTGGGTACTTACAAGTAGGTTTATAAGTACCCTAAGTAAGAGTTCCACCCGTTATATCAAGTAGGGTTTAAGTACCCCAAATGAGATTCTAGTCAGTTATATCTTTAGTCACCATACTCCCACCTGTGAACTACGCATGAACCTTCAAGTAGGCAGGGAGGGAGTTGGAGTTGAAGGGGATGACAGCAATTCGGGTTTGGGGTTTAGGGTTAAGCCGTAAACTTTAAACCCTAAACCCTAAGCACCCTAAACCCTAAACCCCAAACCCTTTTGGCATCCCAAAAGCCGAGCCAGGCCAAGACCAGTTCATGGAGAACTATTTCGAGTCGCAGAGGGAGAATATCTTCCAGCACTGTGAGGCCGTTTTTCGTGGAGTTTTTGTGAGGGACATAGGAGGGTTTAGGGTTTAGGGTTTAGGTTTCAGGGTAGAGGGACACAAGATGGTTTAGGGTTCAGGCGCAAGGTTGTTTAAGAATGTTTAGAGATCTTTGTTGCCCTCAAGCTGGGTTGTAGGCGACGATTTCGCATGCTAGACTCTGGGAACGACGGAAAACAAGGGTCAGTATCTCCGAAAGCCAAAGCCCCACTCTCTGCAAACGAGGGCTAAACCCGAATCCCTGAAACTCGACCCCCAGCGAAAAAATGCGCCTCGACCGCAAACCCGCCGGTTCTTCTGCACCTTCAACCCTTTTTAGAACTTCTCAGATACGGGAGCTTTCCGAAACTGCAGGTACCAGTTTTGGGGGTCTAAGCGGATTCTGTTTTCTTTGGTTTAAACCCTGAAAAACCCTAAAAACCCTAACAACCCTAAAAGCCCTCAAAACCCTAAAGACCCCTAAAACCCTAAAAGCCCTCAAAAACCCTAAACCCTACACCCTAGCCCCTCAACCCTACCCAACCCTAAACCCCACCCCACAGAGGTGCTCATCTAACCCCTAAACCCTAAGCCCTAAACCCCAAATCCTAAACCCTAAATCCTAAACCCTAAATCCCACAGAGGTGCTCATCTACGTCCTTGTGGCTGTCAGGGATCAGCACACGCAAGTGGACGAGCGGAAGAAGGAAGCTCCAGGGGGAGCCGGGGGCCGGGATTCACTCACTTAATTGGGGTTTAGGGTCTAGGGTTTAGGGTTTAGGGTTTAGGGTTTAGGGATTAGGGTGTAGGGTTTAGGGTTTAGGGTTTAGGGTCTAGGGTTTAGGGTTTAGGGTTTAGCCCCCTACAGGGTTTAGGGTTTAATTGGGGTTTCGGGTTTCGGCCTTAAACTTAGAAGATGTGTAAAAGGGGGTGTTGGGTAGCTGCTGCAATGTCTAGTTCGGAAGGCCTACGTACCGATTCTCAGCAAAAACTCATCGAATCAAGTAGCCCTTTCTTCAGCATCCAAGCCCCTAGTTCCTTGATTTCTTTGGTCAACAGGACATCGAGTACTTCAAAGCGGCGTGTGCTTTGGCCTCAGCCGCCCACAACCCTACACCCTAAACCCTAAACCCTAAACCCTAAACCCTCAAGCCCAACTGGGGCAAGAGTGCGCGCAGGTCTGGGGGATCCTAATCTAAAACAAGCCACACATGGTTTGCCAACAAATAGGTGGCACACCTGATGTATTGCGCACCCCTAAATCCTAAACCCTAGACAGCCATAAGTCCTGTACCCTCAACCACGGTCTTTACAGGGCTGGCTTGCTCTGAACTGAACTCTCCCAATCAAAAAACCCTAAACCCCAATCCTCAACCCTAAACCCCGAACCCCAAACCCTAAACCCCAAACCCCAAACCTCGACCCGAAACCCCAAACCCGCAACCCCAACTCCTGCACCTTTCCTCTCAGGAATCCTTGGCCACGCATTCGCCAAATGCAGTGACTTTTGCCTTGATCCACAAGTCTCCGCCTTGGACTTCCCTTTGAGGGGGGTGGTTCGGGTTTGGGTTTTCGGGTTTGGGGTTTAGGGTATAATGGGGTTCATGCCTCTTCCCAATTAGGGTTTGGGGTTTCGAGGTTTAGGGGTTTTGGGGGTTGGGGTTTTAGGGGTTTTCGTTAGGGGTTGAGGGGAGGGGCTCCGGGAAATCTGCTTTTGAGGCTTGACCTCCTGCACGAGAGCAAGCGCATGGAGGTCTTCAAGCAGTATGAGAAGGCCTGCAAGCTCTTGTGCCATCATCAACCCTCCAGTTGACAGGGCTTAGGGTTTAGGGTTTAGGGTTCAGGTTTTCGTGTTTAGGGTTTAGGGTTTAGGGTTTCCTGCAAGGGACCCTCAACCCTCCAGTGCAGGACTAGAGGGTAAAGGGAGCCTCGGTTTTGACGGGGTTTTGGGCTTGGCATGGTTCGGGGTACTATGGGTTAGGGCTTCAGCTCCAGCTTAAGGATTTCTTTGAGCTTTGACAGGTTAGGCTTTACTTTCAAGTCAGGGCTCCGCTCTTAGGGTTTAGGGTTTAGGGTTTAGGGTTTAGGGTTTAGGGTTTAGGGTTTAGGGTTTAGGGTTTAGGGTTTAGGGTTTAGGGTTTAGGGTTTAGGGCTTAGGGCTTCAGGCTCAGGGGCTTGATGGTTTGGACCTCTTGGGAGGTCCTTCATGGCATCAGGTCTTTCCCAAAGCCCACGGTCCCTCCAGCTCCAAAACACCCCACCCAAACCCTCAATCAAACCTCGAACCCTAAACCCTAAACCCTAAACCCTAAACCCTAAACCCTAAACCCTAAACCCTAAACCCTAAACCCTAAACCCTAAACCCTAAACCCTAAACCCTAAACCCTAAACCCTAAACCCTAAACCCTAAACCTCTCTATCATAATGAATTTAAATAAACCCTAATTCAAAAGTGGGCAACGGTGATTTTCGGCCTCAAAAGTGGGCAACGGTGACTTCTTTGGCCTCAAAAGTGGGCAACGGTGACTTTCCTGGCCTCAAAAGTGGGCAACGGTGACTTTCCTGGCCTCAAAAGTGGGCAACGGTGACTTTCCCGGCCTCAAAATTGGGCAACGGTGATTTTCCTGGCCTCACAAGTGGGCAACGGTGACTTTCCTGGCCTCAAAATTGGGCAACGGTGATTTTCCTGGCCTCACAAGTGGGCAACGGTGACTTTCCTGGCCTCAAAAGTGGGCAATGGTGACTTTCGGGGCCTCAAAAGTGGGCAACGGTGACTTTCCGGGCCTCCAAAGTGGGCAATGGTGACTTTCCGGGCCTCAAAAGTGGGCAACGGTGACTTTCCGGGCCTCCAAAGTGGGCAACGGTGATTTTCCTGGCCTCAAAAGTGTGCAACGGTGACTTTCGGCCTCAAAAGTGGGGCAACGGTGACTTTCGGCCTCAAAAGTGGGCAACGGTGACTTTCCGGGCCTCAAAAGTGGGCAACGGTGACTTTCCTTGCCTCAAAAGTGGGCAACGGTGAATTTCGGCTTCAAAGTGGGCAATGGTGAATTTCCTTTTCCCTGAGTTTTTTCAAGGTTTTTCAGAGGTTTTCAATGTTTTTCAAGGTTTTTCAATGTTTTTCAGGATGTTTCAGGGCTTTTAACCCTCAATTCTGATGAAGGGCAGCCCCCCGCGACCTTTTCACAGCCTAGTTTTGGTCAAGGGGGGGTCGTATTTTTCAATTTTAAAGGCAAAATAGTCTTCGGACCCCCCTGGCCTCAAACTCCGACCCCCCCTTGGGAGGGAAGTTTGCCTCCAAAAACACCCCAAATGAGGGGGACCCCAGGATCGGCCCGGGTCCCTATTAAAAACGCGATTTTTTAGTACTGAAATCGACGAATCTGGGTGGCCTCGTTTTCTGGGTTTTTGACCACGGGCCTTCACCGATAGGGGCTTCTAATCCGTAGGGTTTAGGGCCCTAAGCATAAAGGGCCTGTTGTGGGCCTTAGATTAGATTTCGGGTTTTGGGTCCGTTAAAAACCCTAAACCCTAAACCCTAAACCCTAAACCCTAAACCCTAAACCCTAAACCCTAAACCCTAAACCCGAAACTCGAAACCCTAAACCCTAAACCCTAAACCCGAGCCCACCTAAGCCTCCCAAGCCGCCCCCCAGCCCCCAGCGCCCCCCCCTGAGCCGAAGGAGCTGCTAACTCTGGCGCCAAACCGAAATCTGGTGCTTGGGCTGCAGGGGTTTTAGGGTTTTAGGTTTTTGGGCTTTGGGGTTTTCGGGCTTTAGGGCTTTAGGGTTTTCGGGTTTTGGGGTTTAGGGTTTAGAGAGACAGGACTTATCGTCTTTCGATCTGTCGAAGAGTTCATGGCCTAGAGTTTATCAGGTTCAGGGTTGATAAGGTTCAGGATTTTAAGGCTCGGAAGGGCTTACGGTTTGGGGTTTGTGTTAGTAGGGTTGAGGGTGATCTGACTTCGAATCGCGATCACACAATTAAAAGTGGGGGTTGTCTCACACACTGTCAAGCAACCCTAAACTGTAACCCTAAACCCGTAAACCCCTAAACCTCAAAACCCTAACCCGCCGGGATGCGGATCAAAAAAAATTTATTTAGGATCAAGAAAAAATTATTTAGGATCAAAAAGTAATTTATTTAGGATCAAGAAATAATTATTCTGTTCTTTCGACGGAGAGAGGGAAGGGGAGGGAGGGAGGGAGAAAAGGAGGGAGGGAGGGAAGGAAGGGCGGAAGGGCGGAAGGACGGAAGGAAGGAAGGAAGGCAGGAAGGAAGGAAGGAAGGAAGGAGGGAAGCAAGCAAGCAAGGAAGCAAGGAAGCAAGGAAGGAAGGAAGGAAGGGAAGGAAAGGAAATGAAAGGACAGGAAAGGATATAAAGGAACCCATAACATAACATCATATGTTATAATATATATGTGTGTATATATTAAAACAAAGTACAGCAAAATATTGTAGTGGCATAGAGTAGAATAGAACACAATATCGTATAGCATACCTTTGTATCAAAAATATAATAAAATCGAAATAACAAAGCATATATGTATATATTATATATTTACTGCTATTTGATGTAGAATTCATAATACACAATACATATTTCTTGTTTGTTTGGCGCCGGGCAAGCTTCTTCAACGCGTATGAACCCCTTCCAAACCCATGATGCGAGCATTGTGTTTGCAAATGGGGGGGGTCTGCGCCCCCCCTTCAAACCCCCCGCTGTTGTTTAAAGCCGGGCAAGCAGCGTATGAATATCTTTTCCAAACCAATGATGCGAGCATTGGGGGGGGGGGCTGCCCCCCCCAACCCCCCCCCCGGCGCTGTTTTCTTAGTCCGGGCAAGCTTGCTTCAAAGCACATGAATCCTTCCAATCCCATGATGCGAGCACTTTTTGCAAAAAAACATGAAGGCACAATAAGATGCAATGGTATACAAGAATGTATTACAAAAAGATGCAATAATATACAATAATGCACAAAAATACAACAATATACAAATATGTACAAGAATATGCAGCAATATACACGTAAAAAAAGAGTAACTTACAATAATTTTCAGTAGTTGACAAGAATACTCAATAATAGACAACAATATACAATACTATACAAAAGTATACAAAAATATACAATATCATACAATTTTTCAAAAAGATACAAAAAATGTACAGCTATATAGAAAACACAAAAACACAATGACATACAACAATATATAATAGTGTACGAAAACTACAATAATATACACTAGTAGACAATAATATACAAGAATATACAAGAATATACAAGAATATACAATAATATACTATAATATAGAATAATCTGCAATAATATACAAAGAAAATTCAAGAATATACAAGAATTTTGAAAATAGCATTCAATAACATGCAATAATATGGAATATTCCACAAAAACACAAGAAAATACAAGACAATACAGAAATACTCAACAATATATACAACAATGTACAATAATATGCAAGAATATTCAATGTCATACAATATTATACAAGACTTTCCACAATACTATGCCAGAATATACATGCTCCAGAGTAGATGCATTTTTTTTTGAAACTTCTAATGCCAAGATGCCAGCATTGATTTGCAGCCTCTGCAAACTCAGAAATGCTGCTATTTACATCCAGCCTCTGAAATCGCAGAAATGCTGCTATTTTCAGTATTTGCAGCCTCTGGAAACTCAGAAATGCTGCAGAGTACAGTATTTCCAGCCTCTGAAAGCGCAGAAGTGCTGCTATATACAATATCTGCAGCCTCTCTAGAAACTCAGAAATGCTGCTATTTTCAGTAGTTCCCGCATAAATGCTGTTTTTTTGCGGTATTTAGAGCTTGCTAACAGCCAGAAATGCTGCATTTCTGAGCGTTTACAGCCTCCGCTCCGAGTGCAAGAAGCCTTCGAAGCCTTCAGTAAATTATTTCTTGATCCCAAATAAGTTTTTTTTGATCCGCCTAGAAATAAATTATTTCTTGATCCCAAATAAATTTTTTTTTGATCCCCTACCCCGGAACCCGCCCCAAGCCCTCACATTCGAGTCATCTTTCTAATCTGCACACAACCCTATAGACCCTAAACCTGATTAAACCCTGCTAACACCCCAAACCCGAGCCCTCTAAACCCTATATCTAAACCCTATAACCCCTCTAAGACCCAATATGACCCTCTAAACCCTACAAACCCTCTAAATCCCT